ACAGGCAGGAGGAGAAGGAGGTTTTAGCAAAGTATTGAAGGTGGAGAAGAAACACTACTGGTGCCTCTCATTGGCACAAATCAATGATTTATAATAATTCTGTTTTGCCATGGACAAGGCACATTGCTCTGAAATCTGTATCACAGGGATATATGTGTATCTTATGAAAATACACTGCCAGAAAAAGTGCAAATTCAGTCCACTTTTAGGGTTAGGGTTAGGGTTAGGGAATCATGGGAACTGTAGTTTATTGTGGCACTAGAGCTCTCTGACAGAGAAGGCTCAATGTCTCAGGAAAAAAAAAACAATTCCCATGATTCCCTAGCCCTAACCCTAACTCTAAAAGTGGACTGAATTTGCACTATTTCTGATAGTCTGCAACCCCTGTAAAGGAAGTTTATTTGGTCTCTCCAGTCAACTCAACCACAGAGCCTTCCATCCGCCAACTCATACCTAATGGTTTTTCAGGAGAGGCTGGTGGCGCCCATGTCAGGGGTTCAGTGAATCTGTTCTGGGTTTTATCCCAGACCTTAAAGGAACTGTTTGGAGATATGGTTCAGCACTTTGAAAGACCTTCTGAAAGTCTTAAATAAAACCACAGAGGGGGTTTAGTGACTAACACCCCACCCTGTTAACATGGTGGTCACTAACCGTCCTCGGTTCAGTCTATTTTGTCTCTTAGGAGGCAGAATGGATGGTGTAAAAGTGCAAATGTCTGGTATGTGTCTGATGCTCTCTCTCTCCCTATCTCTTTCTAAAAGAGTAATCATTATTAATCCAAATGTTACACCTGAAAATTATACTTTGGGTGTCTATAGTTGAAAAACAACCTTTTTTTTGAAATTTCCAAAAAGAACACATTTAAACAGAAAAAGAGGTCATTTCATCTAGTGTAGACCATTGTAGCTGCCTGTAGTGCACAGGGCAATTTTTCTGCCCTTAAAAAAACTTTAGCAAACCAGGTTTTTAGAGATTTTTGGAGCATTTCAGCCTGTCCCCAAGAAAATTTGATTTCTGTTCTTAGAAAGGGAGAAATAAGGTGATTATGCAGACGTGTATATGGCTTTTATGCACACTTACTGGCTAATGTATCTTTTCTGACCCTTAAGCAATTTTGCAAAAGAAGAGGAATTATTAAGTGAGGTGAAGGAGAAACATAAGCACACTTAATAGGTAAAACTCAGTTTTGTTCCCAGTATGTTTGAAAGGATCTCCAAAAAAACTGTACTGTAACTGGCTATAAACTTTTGCAAAGTCATGGTTTGTAGCTCCATAAATACATTTTTAAGAGGGCAGCAAACATTTAATCATGGAGCAATTTAAACACTTATTGACATTTTTGGTGATTGAAGCTGAAGTCCACTGTTTGCACATGAAAGTGTTTAAATGATACTAATTCCACACAAAACAATCAATCACTGGTATCAATAGCTTTTCATATCAGCTGCTGATGCAGTTTTACAATGATTTGTGCCATTGAAAGGGTTCAAGTATAACTGTTACCTTATACCAGTCCACAATCATGTTTCTTACACATCTGCTTCAGGCCATAGGAAGCTCAGGAGGAGCTGCGCAGGATAATAAAAAGCAAACATCTTTTGACTGATGCACACAAGCACTTATATGGCTGTTCAGAAAACACAAAACAATTGTTCAAATTCCCCAGTGCCATCACCAGGAATGAGCTATCATTTTAAGTTTCTATTATGTCTTGAAAATCATTTGTAAAGCTACAAAAGCATATTTCCATCAGTATTCTGACACCATATTCTTGGGGAGGGGAAGGGGGACTTCAGTAGGTCCAGGGAATGCCAAAACAAAACAAGTAAATCTGGAAATGATTGGAAGTCCACATCTGGTTTTTTTTTGGGGGGGGGGAATGCTTTTTTTTTAAAAAAAATGTTAATTGGGTCACCCATAGAAGCTTCCAGTACAGGCAAGTTGCTTTTTCTGGCTAGAAAACAGGTCATCTGGGGAGTTGCAAGACCAAATTGGAGGCAGCATTTGCTTATCCTGCTCAAGAGTATACAATCTTTCTTTGAAAAGAGTCCTTGGCCATAGCATAGCTATTACCCCTGAAGCAGAGACTCCCCCCTTTCCTTAGAGTTAAAGTCACTATAATTTTAAAGAGAGGGGAGCAGAGTGGTTCTGAACATGCTATGTCAATACTCATCCCCCAGTCTGTGTGGCCAATAGGGCTACCACAATACCCTGATCTGTTTACTTTTTTGACAATGTGCATGTGGCTTGTTCTCACACACCACTAATGTAATGTTTGGCTCCTTGGCTCCTTTTTCCCCTTCATAATCTTTTATAGAGCCTTGCAAATTAAATTTTATAATTGAAATGGACAAGTTTCTTTAGCTCAAATTATATCCTGTCTCAGAATGCATGATCTGTTTCACAGCCATTACTGTGACTAAGTGGGCTGTGTGGCGGGAGACTCAGGACTCCAGCTTCATAAATCATCACCCGCTTGGCCAGCTTTAGGCATAAAAGAACAAAAGCATAATATAATTTCTGGTTCAAGTAAAGGATTATCCAGAAAGATTTGTGAGTTGTGTGTAGGCCCCTTAACCTTCTGGGAAAGAAGGGAAGCTCTAAGACTCACTTATCTTTTCATGAATAAATAATATACTTGGACCAATTAAAGAATTCTTTATTGATAACCTGCAGATTTATTTGGGGTGAGGCAGCATGTAGATCTCTCTCTGCAAACTTTTTGTTCAACTGCACAGATCTCCCAGAGGGACATCAACAGTTTGTAAAATGCCCTGATCTGCCTCAGTACGTGCTGATTTGTTAATGTAGCCCTATTTCACAAGCATGGTTAAACCCAATTAACATTTGTCAGAGGATTTTTAAAGGCCCATGAAAGCCATAGTTAGATGTCTAGGTTAATGAATAAGGGGAGGGGGGAATAATCCTGAACTTATCAATATAAGCAAAGTTTTTGTGGGAGTGTTAACCTCCAGAGCTATAAATCAGACATTTAAATCTCCACTCATATAATCTATTTTAAATGCAGCTGAGAACACAGTGCATAT